CTGACTTATCCATTCGTATGCCACTATTATTTTCAACCCACCTGCAACCAAATATAGGAGTCTGAAACTTCTCATAATCAAACACCCAAATGCGCTCGATAACCCCAAAATATGACATATTTGCATATTTGGGGTTTAAGTCCTTCACACTTGAAATGTGCATTGCTTCAGCTACCATGGTGACACCACTATTTTGCATAAGTATTTTTATCATCTTGTTCTTTGGTATAAAAAGTGTATCCATTAATTGCGTATGCGCTATAAGTAAACACATGAAAACTTGGACCATATGCTAAACATCTCAACCTTTATGTTATTAAAGCGGGATCTGAATAAAACTTTGAATAAATATGATCCTTGAACCATGATATAAAACTTCGATTGTGCTCTCGTACTATCCAGTTTTCATTTCTATTCGGATTTAAATCTTGGAGTTCACCCTTGTGCATTTTAACATACGGCTCAACCTCGTTGTCATTGTGCAAAACATACAAATGTACTTGCTTCCATTCATCCCTTGATACTGTCACAATTTTATTTCCAATTAACTGCTTTCCTTCTTTTTTTCGACAACATGAGATTTAGGGAGTCCAATGGATTGAACATTGGACAAATATTCAGTACGCAACTCAATCACTTCTTCGACAATATATTGTTCAACAATACATCCCTCTGGTCAACTTCGGTTTTCACATACTCTTTTAATATTTTCATATAACGTTCAACAGGGTACATCCATCTCATATAAGCTGGTCCACAAAATTGTGTCTCTTTCATAAGATGAACAACTAGATAAACCATTATGTCAAAAAACGAGGGAGGAAAATACATTTCAAGCTGACACAAAGTAATAACTATTTTTTTTGCAATGATGGTAAGATCGCAAGATCGACGACCTTACTACAAATGGACCTGAAGAAAAAACACAATTTAGTTATTGCGCTTCTTACTTTTTTTGGAAAAATTGAACGTATACCTATTGGTAGAAAATGTTCCATTATAACATGGCAATCACATGTCTTTAAACTCTTTAACTTGAGGTCTTTCATAGATGCAAGTCTTCTAATATCTGAAGAGTATCTTTCTAGAACTTTAACGTCACTTGGAAACTTACACAATATCTTTTTCTCCTTTCTAGATAGAGTACATGCAGTAGGTGGTAGATATGTTCGTTTTCCTTTCTTCAAGGGTCCTAATTCATTTCTTATTCCCATCGCTATCAAGTCCTTTCATACTTTAAGACCATCCTTAGACTTTCCTTGTATATTGAGTAACGTACCAATAACACTTTCAAATACATTTTTTTCAATATGCATAACATCAGAAAATATCTTACATACAACGACTTCCAATATGGCAATTCAAAAAAAATTGACCACTTCTTTCACCCACGTGCGACAATAATATGTGCAAAAGGCTTGCCAAACTGAGTACTCACATCTTTCACCTTTTCAAAAATTTGATCACCTGTCAATGTAGGTGGAGCTATACCTTGTTCTTGATTTCCATTGAATGCTTTTCTCCATCCACGGTAGTGATGATTGGAATTTAAGAATCTACGATGACCGAGAAAGACATTCTTTAGAACAAAATTTCAACCGCGTCCAATCTGTGTTTTCTTCGCAATTAGGACACACACATTGACCTTTAATGTTATACCCTGATAAGTTTCCGTATGCTGGAAAATCATTAATTGTGCAAAATAACACCGCACTTAAATTGAAACTTTCTTTCCTGTATCGATCATAAACCTCCACACCGTTCTCCCACAAAATCTTTAAGTCTTCGATTAAAGGTGTCAAGTATACGTCTATGTCATTCCCTGGTTGTTTAGGCCCAGAAATTAATATAGATAACATCATGGACTTATGCTTCATACATAGCCATGGAGGTAGGTTATAAATCATAATAATCACAGGCCATGTGGAATGTGAGGTACTCTGCAGACCATGTGATTTCATTCCATCAGTAGATAATGCCAACCGAAGGTTTCTCGCTTCTTCTCCAAAATCAAGATAATCATTGTCAATTTTCATCCACTATGGTGAATCTGCCAGATGTCAAAACTTTTCATCTATAATTCTTTCATTTGCATGCTAAGTCAAGTGTTTTACATCGGTTTCACTATAAAACATGCGTCTAAATCTCAGAATTATAGGAAAATACCATAAGACTTTTGCTGGAGACAATTTCTTCTTATATCGAGAGACACCACATTTAGGGCACTCAGTCAAGGATGCATATTTATTTTGAAATAAAACGCAATCATTTGGACAAGCATGTATCTTATTATAGCTCATGCCAATAGAGCACAACATTTTTTTGGCCTCATAGGTTCGATTGAGAAGAACATTATCATCTGGAAGCATCTCTTTCATAAGTGATAATAACTCTGTGAAACTTTTACCCGACCATCAAGTACCTACCTTTAAGTTGTACAACTTTAATACCGCAAACAATCTTGTGAATTTAGTGCAACCTTTATACAATGGTTTCTCTGCATCGCTTACCAACCTCTCAAACATTTTGGGACAATCTTGAAGATCTTCTTTAAGTGCTTCTATGCAATCTCTTCGACTCGATCACAGCTGTATGTATCTGTGCCATTTTCCTTTGAAGCATAGGTCTTATTATCCCCCAGTTCAACATTCTCGTTACGTATCTCACCATGTAATATCCAACACGTATAACTTCGTTCAATTCCATGCCTCTTTAAATGTGATTCCAACTGAACTGCGTCAATCTGACACCCATAACAATAACTTAAGTAAGGACATGTGATCCGACTGGGGTCTTTGGCGTGTTCAACAACAAACTTTACGAATTCTGATACCCCATCCTCGTACTCTTTTGACAATCGATTGGAAGACATCCATTTTTATAGTTTTTACTAAGTAAGCTAAACAAAAACACTAATTATTCACGCAACTAAAGATACCGAACAACTATAGCAAACACGCAAATTCAGTCACACTTAATATTTTAACTCAAGTAAGTCACAAAAAATCATCAATTCGAGCGTAAATCAATCACCAAAATTATCAAATCCACATAAAAATTACCAAATATAACAACTTTTCGTCACTTAAGTTCAAACAATCAACAACATCACAATATACAATTTGTTCACGAATGTCATTCAAGTTTCAATTATAAAAAATAAATTCACAATGTCATCACTATTCACCATCTTCAACCTTAACTCTTAACAATTAATTTAGTTATCATTTGCAATAAAAAAAATCGATCAAGACAAAGTCATTATCACTATTCCTCATCACTAACATTCAGCATGAACTTATAAAATTATTAACACCAAAAATTAAAAAAAAATCACCACAAACCTCACTATTCATCATCTTGAACCTTACTACTAAAATGACATTCAAACTTCCATTGAAGTCAAATAACAACAACATTATAATGTAAACAAATAAACAAATAAACAATTAAATAAATACCATGCAAATAACTTTGAAACTGTAAAAAATGAAGAAAATGAAGAAATACCTTCAACAATGGTGTCACGAGGTTGCTACAGAGGTTCAAGATGATGAAGAAACGGAGGTCGGAGGTTGCTACGGTGGTTTGAGACAATGAACGACGGTGGCACGATTGGATGGAGGAAGAAACGACGGTCTGAGGTCTGGTAGGGTTCGTATGTTCGTCTGAGAGTGAGAGAGTGAAACAGAATACGTCAGAAACAAAATACACATTCTGTTTTAATTTAAGAAAACAGACCTATAGCAGCGCTTTTTTAAAAGCGCTTTCTTTCCCCCTATAGCAGTGCTTTTCCTGAAAAAACGCTTTCATATGTTAGCCCTTTAGCAGCGCTTTTGAAAAGCGTTGTCTAAGGTGTGACCTAGACACCCCTTATAGCAGCGCTTTTGAAAAGCGCTGTCTAAGGTACCCCCTATAGCAACGCATTTTTAAAGCGCTTTCTAATGTTAGGCTTTAACAACGATTTTCCCAAAAGCGCTTTCTATTGGTTACTCACTTATGACCTTTAGCGGTGCTTTACAAAAGCATTTTCTTAATGCCCCCTTTAGCAGCGTTTTTTCCCTTGTTTCTTTTTTTAAAAAAATTTTGATCTTTTAGCAGCGCTTTTTTATAAAAGCGTTGTCTTTGTAGTGCTGCCAAAAACTACTTTTGACCTAGTGAAGAGAGGTCTCAGTCTTGGAAAAGCTGGTCCTATATGCGTCTTGTGTAGCAAAAATGTCGAAAACGTGTTTCATTTATTTTTCAGATGTGAGCTGGTTAATAGAGTTTGGAAGGACATCATAAAATGGATGGGATGCGGGGTGGATTTAGACGTCTTTTGTTATGTCTCGTTCTTAAGGTTTGGCAGGAAATTGTGTAAGAAGACTGGTAATTTGCTTAGGATCTTCGTTTGAGTATCTACGACGTGATTTATTTGGTTAGGAAGGAATAATTCTATATTTAGAGGTAAGAATTTCTCGGTCGACGAAACCATTAATTCGATTAAATTTTACTCTTGGAGATAGTTGTTTGTAGATGCTAGGATGCCAATTATTGTGTTTTTTAACTACTGGTTTGTTTCTCCTGTGAACTATTTAAAGCGGATTCCGCTTTTGTTGTACGGATTCTAATATCCCTTGTTTTCAGTTTTTTAACCCATTCGTTATTAAAGAAAACTGTAATTAATAAACTATAAAAAAAACTCTCAAGTCTCAAAAAATTGTGCTAGGGAACATGGTTTACTAAAAAATCTATAAAAATTAGATCGAAAACTTCTGGAATTTGAAGTTTGAACCACGTCAATCTTTTTATTTCAGTTATAAATTAACTAATATAAAGCACTCTTTCCACGAGTGATATGAATATGATAATAATAAAGTGAATTATCACCACAAGGTGCTTCCAAGAAAAAGCGAATTTAGTACGTAGGACCTTTAATAGAATAGCCTTATATATAAACTGCTCGCACATACATTCATTATAAGCTCATCTCGATTATTACAATCAAACAACATAAAATAATGGCCAAAGTTCATCCTCAAAAACAAGAACCTACAACATCATCTAAGTCTCATGATGATAAGTGTCTTAGTAAAGGAGAAAGATATACAGTATGGATGAAATCACTTGTTCTTCACTCTAATGGCTGCACTGTCTATGATTCAAAAGGTAACATAGTTTACAGAGTTGATAACTATGATAGAAAAGGTGGAAGAGAAGTGAATCTGATGAATCTAAAAGGAAATGTTGTCTGCACCATCAGAAAAAGATTACTAGCTTTTGGATGTTGGGAAGGCCACAAATATTGCAGCAGCAATTCTAATAGTAGAAGCCTGGAGGAGCAAGCATGGTTTCAAGTTAAAAGATGTCTGAGAGGGAAAGTAGATTGCGAGATAAAAGTGGGATCTCAAAATGTGTCCATAGAAAGAGTGAGTAAAGGTAAATCATTTGGTTTTCGGATAATAAGCAAAGATGGAGAAATCATAGGAGAGGCAAAGCAAAAAGAGTCTTCATCAGGAATTGTTTTAAGCAATGATGTTCTAACGTTGGATTTGGCAGCTGGAACGGATCATTCCCTTACAATGGCTTTGATTACAGTCTATGGATTGATGTGTGGCTTAATGTAAATATTTCATTTTGTAATTTGTCTTTGGTTCAGTTTTTCTATTTTTTATTTTTAATTTCCTAAACACCATCGGGTTATGTAATTTGAGAGATATGTATATGTTGTACATACACACATATATTGTTTACAAAGAAGAAAAGAGAGATGATTGTATATTGATCTTTGGTACTCTTTAAAATTTGAGTTTCCTTGTTGAATGGTTTCTTATGATTGTTACAAAAGGAAATAAGATTTGAATTTCCTAATTGAATGTACTGAAACACATATCTTTTTATGAATAAGCTCTTTATAATTGAATTAAGAGTTTGTCCACAATATTCTTTCCCGGTTCAACAAATAAATTAGACGTCAATTAAGACTTCAATTTAAAAATAATATAACTAGAGTTTTAAAATTTTTGTGACCGATTTAATGACTTTCAAAATTTTACTAACAAAATGTCAATTTTTAGTGGCTAATTCGGCCACTAAAGTGACCGAAAATTTTCAGTCTCTAATTCAATCGATAAAAGTAAATAATAGTAGTGCCTATAGATACATAAAAAATAATATAACTAGAGTTTATCAAAATTTAATTAATGTAATTTATAAAAGAATTAAAATAATTTAGTTATATAAAATAATTAAATAAAATGATTAAATATAATAAAAATTTACTTCAGTTTTTCTAGAACCTTCGTCAACAAACTCACCATTCTTTTAAGTATGAGTCGCCGCATAAAGGTCTTTAAGAAGCGGAATAACTCCCGTATCTTCAAACTAATTAAATGAAAGCATAATTATACAATAATTATGTTTAAGGGTTGTTGCAGCCGGCTACTTCAAAAACTATATTTTTGCTTGTTCTAATATCGCCTTTAACTTATCAGAATTCCAATAATCGATTAATTCTTTGAATACTTCTTCACTAATCCAATGAGAACGCCTTTCACGAGCAATCCAGTCAAGTCTGACACACTTAAGAATGCCATAAAGTCGAGCTCCACATATGTAGTCAGAATTACGTCTAATTAGGTCGTGATCTCTTATATCCCAAGTACGCTTTTCCTACATTATTGTATTGAATTTAAAATATATATTAAATAAAGTGTAATCGAGAATATTTCAAAAATCATAAATTAATTAAAATAACAATTACGTATTTCAACTAATTTATTAATTCTCCTAAATGCATCGACGACATAGGTATAACATGCATTTGCAGAATGCTAGATCCTCCCGGATGCATCAATAACATAGGCATAACAGGAATATGCGGAATGCTAGATCCTCATGGATACATAGATGACATAGGCATAACATGCGTTTGCGGAATGCTAGATCCTCCCGGATGCATCGATGACATAGGTACAAAAGGCATATGTGATGGGAATGTCGAGAAACCAGAGGGACTGATAAAAGAAGGTGGATACCCCGATGGAAATGCAGAGATTTCAGGGGTATAGAAAATCTGGAGATGAACAACCCAACTTGACTGTGGTGACGTATCTCAAAAAATACGATCCTTCACGAAGTGTATATCGCACGCTCATGGAAAAACAGTTTGAAGAGAGTCGCCACTATTAAGTGTCAAATTGTGCATATTTTTTTATGGTATTTTGTGACCCTTTCCAATTGTTTGTTTGGTGTTTTAGTAGTAAATCCATATATTTTAGTGTAAATACGCAAGCTTCCGATTATGCATGTAAATATTATGAATTATGATCATTTTGATGCTTTTTGATAGGTTTTCATGCTGGATATAATGCTTGGAACCTGTGGATGATGGAAGAGGATTTTGAAGATCAATTTCGCGACATTTTGATAGAAAATCACGCTTAGTGCGTTTTCCAGCGCGATTTAGATGAAGAGGCAGTAGTCAAGGGACAAAGACCGCGCTTAGCACGTTTTCTTTAAAATTTTCACCTTTGTACTAATCATGCGAAGCACACTCTGATTAAGCTTAGCGCGGTGCCACTTATAGGCATCTTTTTGAACTTGTATAAATGGGCACTTGGGAGATATTTTGGGGGACACTTCATTTTCTGCACTTTTTTCATATTGAAAAGAGATTTTTAGGGTTTGAAGCTTAGAAATTACAAGAGAAGTGAAAATCAAAACTTTAGTGCATCAATCTTCAATCTTTCGACTTTAATGCTAGTAAATCTTTCTTTTTTACTTGTTGATCAACTACTATGGTGACGACTAGCTAAACACCTTTTGTGTCAAGATTAGAGGTAGTTAGCCTTATTAATATCTATTTCTTTTAATCTTTTGTATGTGAATAAAGTTGATGATCAATATATGATGAAGATCTTTGCTCTTAATGATATTTGTATGGTTTGAATCACTCTAGACATAGCTTTTCCAAATCTTGATCTAAGTTCTTCATCTATTAACAAACAAAATCTAGACATAGATTTGGGAGTTAATATTTGTTTTATATTGATCTTAATGGAATAATAATAATAATAATAATAATAATAATAATGGAATAATAATAATAATAATGGAATAATAATAATAATAATAATAATGGAATATTAATAATAATAATAATAATAATAATAATAATAATAATGAAATAATAATAATAATAATGGAATAATAATAATAATAGAATAATAATAATAATGGAATAATAATGAAATAATAATAATAATGATAGAATAATAATAATAATGGAATAATAATAATAATAGAATAATAATAATAATGGAATAATAATAATAATAGAATAATAATAATAATGGAATAATAATGAAATAATAATAATAATAATAATAATGGAATAATAATGAAATAAAAATAATAATAGAATAATAATAATAACAATGGAATAATAATAATAATAATAATAATAATAATAATAATAATAATAATAATAATAATAATAAATAATAATAATAATAATAATAATAATAATAATAATAATAATAATAATAATAATAATAATAATAATAATAATAATAATAATGGAATAATAATAATAATAATGGAAAATTAATAATAATAATAATAATAATAATAATAATAATAATAATAATGGAATAATAATGATGATAATAATAATAATGGAATAATAATACTAATACTAATAATGGAATAATAATAATAATAATAATAATAATAATAATAATAATAATAATAATAATAATAATAATAATAATAATAATAATAATAATAATAATAATAATAATAATAATAATAATAATAATCTTCTATACAATATATAAAGAGAATACTTTGTTTTGGTGTAACTTATTTTTCTACCATTTTTACCTTTACTTTATTATGTAATTTTTATTATTAACTTTCACATAACTTCTTATTATTAACTTTCTCATATTGTATTTTTTAAAATTTTTATTTAAACAAAAATTATCGTTTATATTTTCATTCATACGCATTAAATTCCTTAATTGCCCTTAACTTCAATTCAAATTACAAACTACAATATAGTAAAAAAGAACTATATTTACTCACGGTTACCAAATCAATTGTTTGTGGCAATCAAATGGCAGTTTCTTTTTGCTGTTCATGTCAAAATATCAGTTTTCTTTTAATTTGTAGTACATAGTAACCCACAAAACTCATGTTTTCTTTTAATTTGTACATAGTAACCCACAAAACTCAACTTCTTTTTATGTTGATTATTTTGTATCCTCTATTTTTGTTTTTCCTTTTTCATTCTTCTGTGGTGACAGTCAAAGAGGATTTTATACTTTCAGGTCCGCGTCGCTGCCTGGCTAAACAAAGTCTTGCCACCATATGGTTAGTTTATTGTCTTCTTCTATAATATTCTTGCGATTTCCTATTTTACTTCTGTTACACTTTCAATATTATTTTTATAGGAGAATGAACTTTATGAAAATGTTATTATGTTTAACTGATGTCATCATGTATCATGTTGAAGAATATGATGTATATTGAAAATTGGTTTTTTATACAATTTCTCTTTTTGATCATTAAATATTTATGATTTAATTTGTTTATGTTTGTGATCAATGTAATATTGTTTCTTATTTTGTAACTGATCACTACACAAATACATTAAACATTCAACACTAATTTTTTTATAATGGTTGAGATAATGACACATTAGTGGTTCATCTTTATACTGCTTCCAAATAAACTTCTTCATTTTATACCGTCTTTTTAAAATTTTAGTGGTTCATCTTTATACAAAATTAAAGATATTTGGATTGGTCTTTTTTTAACACCCAAAATTAAATAAAGGAAATAAGAGATTTTGGATTGGTCTTTTTTTAAGTCTATTTTATCTTTAGTTTTCAAATAAATAACACCCAAAGTTAAAAAAGATATTTGTACAACATAATGTGCTTTCAATTTGCTAATAATTATAACTGTTATGTGCCACTTTCTCTTTACTGTATAGTATGTAACTTTTTTATTTTTATTTTTCAAATTATTTGGTTGTTTTATTTTTTCATTTTTATTAGAAAAACCAAGTCTAATATATCGATAAATTGGGTCACGCACCAAGTTCAATAGTGTCGGACGTGAGGGGGTGTATTAGAAAAAATCAAAGTCTCACATTGGTTAAATATACAATCTATAAAGAATTTAGATAGAGTGACACCTCTCACCTTACCAACCAGTTTTGTAAGATTGAGTTAGGTCGAACTCTAATTTTATTATGGTATGATGAACCTATTGATTTGGACCATCCACCATTTATATATGCGCACCAAGCCCAAAACGAATGTGTTGGGCGCAAGGGGTGTATTGGAAAAACCAAGTCTTATATATCAATAATTCAGATTTATATAAAGTGGCAGTTCAAACCAACCAGTTTTATAGGGTTGAGTTAGGGCGAACTCTTATTTTATCAATTTTCTTCAAAATTGTACTTCCATTTTTTTTAATTGTATTGAATATTATTCATCGTGTAGTTCATTTTCTTTTCTCAAATCCTTCATCTCCATATGGTTTTGTATTTTTTTTTTATAATTAGATCAAAATCAAACAATTAAATTTTTAAATTAATTTTTTTTCATTTAATACAAATTAAAAATCTATAACTATAAAAAAAATACACAATTTTGATCGTATCTTTTATTATATTCCCAACTTACCCTTTTAGCCGCACAATTTACAAATTCTAATAAGTGCTTGATGACAAAACGTAACCACTTAAGTGTCTTATCATTTGCTATATAATTTCTCATTAAATCTACAAAATTAACTATTGTACATATAAAAAAATTCAACTTAAAAAAAATCAGTGAAATATAATGAAAGAATCCGTAGGTGGTGCTGTAACAACATTCAATGTTATGCATTCAATAATACAAGTTTCATGTTTATTCTCTCTCATCATCTATTTTCATCTTCCTCAATTTCGATTTCAAATTTTCATCAAAAAATTAGATTCAACCATTCACTCCTTAAATTCTCTATCGATTGTTTGATGACATGAAAATCTGAAGAAATTTTCTTTTAACATTTAAAAATTAGTTACTTTATTCTCTTCATATCAATGTAAATAAATTTTTGATTCTTCTAACCATTGATTCTCATATACAAATGAGTTGTTATCTATTTGTTCTTTATTTTCTCTCTTTTTTAATTTTTATTTATTTTTCATATGGAGTCAAAGGAAAAATAACAACATTTATGTCTCAGTTTTTATTACAGATTGCTTTAATTTAAGAACATAGAAGTGCTAGATGTGGATATCAAAATCTGAAGAAATTTTTTTTTAAGATTTGAAAATTAGTTACTTTATTCTCTTCATATCAATATAAATAAATTTTTGTTTCTTCTAAACCATATTGATTCCCACGTACAATTGTTATCTATCTGTTCTTTACTTTCTCTCATTTTCAATTTTTATTTATTTATCATATGGAAAGTCAAAGGAAAAGTAACAACATTTATGTCTCAGTTTTTATTACAGGTTGCTTTAATTTAAGAACACAGAAGTGCTAGATGTGGATATTAAAATTGAAACTCCTAAGGTTAGAGAGAAACAAATTTAATGATTTTTATATGGTTTTTGAAAAAAAAAAAGAAATATAAATCTTATCTATTCTATAACATATATAAAGACAATATTTGGTTTTTGGTTTACCTTTTTTTTTATACCAAATTTACCCTTATTTTAAAATATATAATTTACACAATAACTTTCATTGAACTACTACTATCATCTTTCATATAACTCCTTACTAATAAGTTCTCATATAACTTTCATGTAAAATTAATATTAAATAAAAATATATCATTTATATTTATATATGTGCAATAAAAAAGCGGACAGACGGGCACGCGAGTGCCTGTCTGGACGCTAGTATATATAAAGGGAATACCAAATTTAAGCATGACCTATTTTTATTCTATAATTACTCTTTAATTAATCTATATTTTACAATTCAAAGAATTAGTTTAAGTAACTTTCATATACAATAACCACCTAAAAGTTATTGTGGAAGAGATAGATATACAATAACTATCTGAAGGTTATAAAAAAGAAAAAAAGACAAGAACATAAATGTTATAAAGCAAAGCAAAGATCCAATGGACAATTTTCTCTCTGGATTAAACACAACTAGTTTTTACAAATAAAAATTTATAAGAGCGCTCATGATGCCAAGGTTTATGAAACTGCCAATTCTTCTCACATCTCTTTTTTTTCTCCTTTTTTTTTTCGTCTTCCATATTATGGTTGCAATCTCTATCGTCACTTTCGTTCTTCTTATGTCAAGGTATTTTAATTGATTGTTTTGATGTTGAAATTTGTATATGTTTGTTCCATTTAGTTTCAAATATATCTTATGTTTTTGCACTTTTAATTTATTGACTTATTCTTTTTATTATGTACAACTTTTGTGACTGTGAATGTTATTCAAGTCGAGAGAGAAAGAGTCAAAGAGAAAGTTGTCTTTGTAGAGAAATTTTCTCAACAATCCTTTTTAAATTTGATTTTGTGTCTTTTTGATTTTATTATTATTATTGATTTGTCATAAAGAGGAGAGATGTTAAGGAAATGAGAGAAACACAATGGACTGTAATCAAATGTTGAAACAGGGTGAAGATAAAAATGAGTTTAAATTTATTTGGATTGTGAGTAAAATGGAAAGTGTTATACAAGAAGGAAGTGAGGGAGCACATATATCCAAAACAATCATGGGAATGTTATAACATAGAAATGCTAAGCTAATGACACAATTCTGCAAATGATACTTTTTTAAATGTAGTGACATAATTTTTCAAGTTGGGGGAGATACTCATCCTAAAACCAATTTGTTTATGTAAAATACTATTCAACTATGTACTTATCATATTTTTTGTTTGCTCTCAGCTTTGTATATTCAAGGAAAATGGGAGAGAGTTTAACAAAGATACAGGAATGGATAAATGTTACAAATTATTTTGCCAAAAAATAATTGTAACGGAACACTTGACATCTTATTTCACTCCACAAATATATATATTTTTTAATTTTAGTGGAGATTAATTGTGTATTGTTGGTCTACAAAAATTTAAATTTTTTTTCAATGTGTCGATTTTCTTTCTAGGTTTCCACAATCATGTGTTTGCAACAATTATTCTTAATATATATATATATATATATATATATATATATATATATATATATATATATATATATATATATATATATATATATATATATATATATATATATATATATATATATATATATATATATATATATATATATATATATATATTTATAACAATTTATAAATTAATAGATTATTTTTTTGTTTTTTATTAAGTAAATAAATATGACCTTCAATTCTATTTCAACTACCCATTAAAAATTAATTACAAAATTTAGTTATTGAATCAAACTAAATCACTTATTTTAAATATTGGCTTGATGCTTATAGTTAGAATTTGTACGTTTGATGTCACCAATGCCTCTAATATGTTGAAAATGTGTTTATTTATTTAATGATGTTCATGCTAATTTAAATCTGCATTATGATTATTCAAAGTAATTGTAAAATTTTCAACAAATAATTTTCATATCTTACACGTTTTAGAATAATAAAAAAATATATAGGCGATTTTTTTGATTGGAAAAGCTATTAAAATTAAGCATACTTTGATTGGTATAGGAAAGGTTCACAAAATATTAGTTTTGTCACGAATTACCTCCTTAAAGCATATGACATTTGAAGAGCCGTAGTCTCAATCAAACAATCACGAATATTATGATCCGTCTCTAGAAATTCTTTATTCTCAATTGATTTTTTAAATGAATTAAACAAATTGTCATTATTTGTAAGATATTTCCAATTAGTTGGACTTTTGACATGAGATAACAATAATTAGAAGGAAAACTTCTCTCCCTTCGAAGGTTATACTATATAGATTCTTCCAATAAAAAAATGATTTTCCCACAACGTATGCGCACTAAAAAAAACATGCGCACATTTTAAGACTACTTGAGAATATCTAAAAACATTACTTTTAATCCTAAGTATGATAAGAATTTCATACAAAATATAAACACGTTTATTTTTCTATGTTGTGCATATTAAAAAAAGCGGACAGCGTGTCCGTTTGAACGCTAATAATAATAATAATAATAATAATAATAATAATAATAATAATGTATTAAGAGGTTTGAACCACGTTATTTTTAAAATATGTTACTAATTAATTGACTAATTAAAAAGCACTTTTTCCACGAGTGCAATCATATTAAACTCAATTATTTCTAATAGTTGCCTCCAAGAAGCAGCAAAGTTAGTATGTAGGGCCTATAATAGAATAGGCTTATAATCGGAGAGGCATATAAGTAAGCTTTTCATACATACACCAACTCACTATAACCTCCATTTCCAATATTACAATAAAACAACAAAGAATAATGGCCAAAATTCATCCTCAAGAACAAGAATCTACAACAACCTCTGTGTCTTATGATCACTGTCTTAATAAAAGAGAGAGATATACAGTATGGATGAAATCACTTGTTCTTCACTCTAATGGTTGCACTGTTTATGATTCAAAAGGTAACATAGTTTATAGAGTTGATAACTATGATACAAAGGGTGGAAGAGAAGTGAATCTGATGAATCTAAAAGGAAATGTTGTCTGCACCCTCAAAAAAAGATTACTAGCTTTTGGATGTTGGGAAGGCTACAAATATCACAGCAGAAATTCTAATAGTAGAAGCCAAATCGAGCAACCATGGTTTCAAGTTAAAAGATGTTTTACTAGGAAAACTGTCTGCGAGATCACAGTTGGGTCGCAAAAATTGTGCATAGAAAGAATGAGTAATGGAAAATCATTTGGTTTTCAGATAGTAAACAAAGACGGACAAATCATAGCAGAGGCAAAACAAAAACTATCATCCTCAGGAGTTGTTTTGAGTAATGATGTTCTAACGTTGGATTTGGAATCTGGAACAGATCATTCCCTTATAACAGCTTTCATTACAGTATACGGATTGATATGCGGAAAAATGTAGATATTAATTTCATATTTGAGAGATCTTATATACACAAAACAATTTGTATGTAGAACATGATTCATATAGTTTTATTTTCTGATAGTTTTACAGGATAAATATTTTATAGTTTTGTTTGGCTCAATTTTGTATAAAAAGATTACGAGCATCATCAGGATTTAATATAATGTATGAATATCAGTTCGTATTCATTTTTAATCATTAATGAAATACAATTAAATATTCCACAAGCATTACATTATTAAATCTATGAAAGCTTGGAGAGCTTCAAATCTTCATCAAGGACTATGAGCCATTTCAACATGGTATCATAAGCTTTTATTTTTGGATGAAGTCTTTCTTCACCCCAATAGCTTTTGTTGTTTCACGAATATTTTTGCAAATCAACCACCCAAAAAATTAATTGGTCGAGTCGGGGATTAGATTGATATCTTTAAAATGTTTTGAAATATTATTTAAAATTATATAAAACCGTCGAACAACCGCACCATCTTTAAGATTAAATAATCTAGTTCAGTTATACGATCATTACTTGCACGATATGTAATCGTTTTAAAAATGTACCTTCTGATAGTGTTGAACCACTCGATGATGGTGTCAAAACCACAAGTAATATCTAGATAAATCAGTCGCAGATTACGCAAGCAAGCCACTCAGAAACTAAAAATAATTTTTTAAAAGAAATAAAAATGGAAGAGAAGAGAGAGATTTTATTTTTTGAAATTGTTAGATCTTGTGTTGAGGATCTGCAGCGAAATATGAACAAGAAGAATATGATGAAGACGGTACGATGAAAGTTGCACAAAATGATTCCAAAGCGTTTGTTTAAACTAAACTTTAGGTTCGATTCGCCCCCATCAATTTATGCAAATTAGATGCAAAATGATTAACCGGCAAATCACCTTCAGGATACTTTGGAAACCATAACATGAATCGCACATTCACATTAAGCATGTCGATTAATGATAGTTTACTGAATAAAGCTTCCTCATTTATTCTCACGTACAAGAAAAATAAAAGAAATGACTTAGATAGAATTTTTGCTCTGAAAATATTTATTTTCATGTATCTTTTATGACTGACAGGTATCTCTATTTATAAAAAAAATTGTACCTATTGGTATGGAGAAACAATGTTTCATTTGATTCCAACATGACCATTCGTGAACCATTGTATATCAATAGCAACAAACTTTTTTTATAAAAAGTTGTGTTAATCCGGTGGTTGCACCTTTTGACCATGTACTCAATCATTATAAGGTCTTTGGTTCTATTATGGACAGTTGCAACTTTTGGCAATTTATTTTGTTAATTTAACCATTATTGTTTATCAATTTAATATTTTGGAAATTCTCCAACAATCCCCCACTATTTTCAAAATATATCTAAATCCATTATTCAGAACATTTCATGGTTTCAGATAAAAGTATCTTACAATTTGAACCAATACTTAGTAAGTTAAGTTTTCACTTATCACTGAATAGTTTGATAGACAAACTTTGAACCAATTATTCATTAAAACAAGCGTGTATAACTCAAACATGAAATCTCGGTATCATTGGTCGAATTATTAATATGACACATTTAATTAGGCCTTGTGTCTCATATCCTTTTCATGAAATTTAAGAGTCAAACCCTTGAACTCTATGAAGCGGCACTATTTCATTCTCATATAGGTAGACTATATCAGAAATTCACCCATAATTATGCATTCCAGCAAACATATATTGTATGTCTATTAAGAGAAAAACTTCATCCTACCACACTTATTCTTATGATCCAAGTACTTTTACTTCTTGTGATGTATTTATCATTAAGTACTTCAATCACTCTAATAGTGTATTTTCATCATTGAACTCAAGATTTAACATTAATCAAGTGTGAGTTGAGTTTCCACTGTTGATGATTAATTAGATACGGGCTTGTTCCGCATCCCTAATGATATCTTCATTGTATTCAATTATATCCAAAGACTTCATATATTTGTCAATCCTTTCATCAAAGAATTGCAAGATTTTTCCAAACTTTAATAAATTCCGAATATTCAATTTTTCAACTAATCATGCATATGATTACTTTATGTACTCTTGATAGTATTTATCATCTATCTTCAAATCATAACATTTTTGTCATATTAGTACAATTTCCATATACAACATATGTTCTATATTCTTGATAGTTTTGATAAACTATCATCATGACACTTTTGTCATATACACGAATTTTATATCATTCTTCATTTTCTAATCTTTTTAATTAGAAGTTTTATTTCCACTTAAATATATCCGAAATATATTTAAATTATTAAACATTTATAGCAATCGCCAATCACGATCAAACAAATTTGTCATGACTAACTTTTATTTCATGAAGTGAATTCAAACATGTAATTCATAAACTCCATATAAATACAACACCATGTGATAAATTCATATTTCATATTTAAAAATGTTTATGATATATCTAAATAAAAATCACAAAATGAACAATAAACCAACATCACTAATATTTCTTGTAACATTTCTCTATGAATACTTATTAACTTACAACAAGATAAAATATATCCAAATTACTTTTGATATCAAGATAAGTAAGAAATAATACTTTCATATTATGATATACATATAATATGAGATAAAATTTTAATTTTAAAATTCTTGCATAAACAACAATATAATTGAAATATGTTCTTGATATTTTAACATGTTATCTACACCATTTTATGTTATCAATAAATTTACCATATATTCAAATTTATAATTTTAATTATTACCAAATAATGTCATCTAAAAATAATGCATTATTAATTAAAATGAATTATTTGCACCAAAGAAAAATATTTAACATACATTTTACATTCAAGTTTATAACATAAACCAAACATATTTACAATCATTTCATTTCACATATTTGAATAGTTTATAAATCATGTATCTATAAATTTAATATCACATGTTAAACTTAACATAAATACACATTATTTTCATTATATAATATTATACATGAATTTAAAACATTATATGAATATATATTAAAGCAATCGAATTATTATGTACCTTTCATTATGGATATGAATAAGAGAGTATGAATTCATTTCTCCATCAAAGTTGCAATCATAAATTAATCATAAAAATTATAAATCGAACCTAAAGATTGTAAGATCTTGTGTTGGGAATCTGTTGCAAAATATGAACAAGAATATGATGAAGACGGTACGATAAAAGTTGCACAAAATAATTTCAAAGCGTGTGTTTACACTAAGCTTTAGATTCGATTCGCCCCCACCAATTTATGCAAATTGGATGCAAAAAAGTTAACCGGCAAATCCCCTTCATGATACTTTGAAAACCTTAACCTGAATGACACATTCATATTAAGTATATTGATTAATGATATTTGACTGAATAAAGTTTCCTCATTTATTCTTGTGAACAAGAAAAATAAAACAAATGACTTAGTTATAATTTTTGCTCTGAAAATATTTATTTTCGTATATCTTTTATAATTGACAAATATCTCTATTTATAAGAAAAATTGTATCGATTGGTGTGGAGAAATAATATTTTATTTGATTTCAACATAATCATTTGCGAACCATTGTATATCAATAGCAATAACTTTTTTATGAAAAATTGTGTTAATCGGATGGTTATACCTTTTCACCACGCACCCCATCATTATAAGGTCTCTGATTCTATTATGAATAGTTGCAACTTTTGATCATTTATTTTATTAATTTAATTATTATTATTTATCAATTTAATATTTTAAAAATTTCTTCAACTAAAATCTAGTGTGAGAAACTAAATTTAGGAAGTTTATTGGCAATAATCTTAACGAAATGGGAAGAAAACATGGGAGAGAGTAGAATAGACTCGGTAAAAAAAATTAAGTCATGACTAACCGTTTTTTATTTGATTAGCAAGTTATACGTTTAACTCTTAGAGGGTAGAGGGTAGGCAAACATTCAAATTTCAGTGCACGTGATTTCGATGGATGGTATTGTTATCAATCCGTCCAAAGTAGAAGTTGTGCTAGCTGGTGAACAATCTACAACAATCGCTAAGATGAGAAGCTTTGTGGATTTAGCTAGCTCGAGATTCATCGAGGATTTCTAAAGATTATTTTCCCAATTAATCAACTTCACAAGAAAAAAATTCTCCAGAATAAAATTAAGCATGAGATAATTCATTTGCATAATGCATTTTATCTTTACCTACCACCCACTTTGATCTCCAAAAGAGCTCATGACATGCTCTGCCGCCCTCAATGATTATTTAAGTAATTATTTACTCTACCAAAGACAAGCACTTTTCTGCAATACAATGACATCAACAGCCACCGTTAAAGTGATTGGAGATGAATTGTATGTTAAATTGGAAACTAGTTTTTTAGTTTTCAATTCTATCTGTCTATCTATGACTTTGTTCTTCAAATGTGGCCACCTAATTCAATGTCGTTTTCATAAGTGCTTGTTAATTATTAATTAAGTATAAAATATTAAGTAAAAGTCAGAAACACATAAACTAACTGATCCAAACAATTAAGCCGCGTTGGCAATGATCCAAACAATGAATGTTTTGAGTGTTTCCACGCCCAATCTGTTGCCTAAAACGTGCTTTAGTGGGATGACATATGATAACACTTTTCAACATATGCCTCTTCCTTGTCTTCGGATTTGAAATATTGGCACAAGGAAATTATCGGGACGAGTCGCGTACTAGGTCGCTTTCTTTAAGACGTTTCGTCGTACTGCCAAAATATGCAAAGCAGACGACGCCTCCAGGATAAAACAGCCCGTTCAAAATTACGAAAATAGCCAGTCCAATATCTGGCTGAAATAGCCAGTCGAAAAAACCAAGAAAAGAAAATTGTTTAGATGAAGAGAATTAAGGGAGAGAGAGGGAAATCAAAATTCGTGTGAATTTGTGAAATCCGGAGTGCTCACTACTGAATTTTTACCCTTTATTTATAGGTAGCTAGTGAGGCTGATATTTCCAT